TATTCGGGCATTCTTGAGAAAATCACAATTAAAGTTTTTCTAGAACTATTAATACCTGTGCAGAAGCACCATTCACACATTCATGGCATGGTGTGATTAGTTAGAATTGCTTGAAGAGCATTAATATGTGGGTTCAAATCTCATATGAGAAAAAATGTTTATGTTTACAATTTAATTCATACAGGATTCAAACCCATTCTTCAAGCAACGCCTTAACTAATCACACCGTGCCATGAATGTGTGAATCACCATTCACACATTCATGGCATACTTCTGCATAGGTATTAATAATTCTAGAAAAACTTTAATCGTGATTTTCTCAAGAATACCAAAGCCTCAGGACCCACTATTCGGGCTTTAAGTACAAGTAAATACTACACATCCATAACATTTTGTTGAAATTGGTGATGACAACCTCCTGGGGTTCCTCTTGTCAGTATATGCAAAATAGCACAGAAAACCAATTCAAATGCCACAAAATAGAATACTTTCCCAAGTAACAAGTTAGATAAAACTTACATAATGGTACAGTACCATTTTTATTATTAATTACAAAAAACCTTGCCCTGCAGTTGAGGAAATGTGGTATTTAGTTGGGATCAATAGTACAGTCATACCTTGGGTTACGCCGGTTCAAGTTAAGTCGTTCTCAATTATATGTCGTTTATCAAAAAAAAAAACTTAGTTTTTATTTTTTCATATAAGTAATTTTATTCTATTTTACGTCTGTCCGCCACAAATATTGAAGTCATAATATCACTAGAAAAGCATTAGAAGCACATAAAATCATGTTACTTTTATTTAAATAAGAAAAGTATAAAAAATCATATTAAAATATGTACATTTACAGTAAATGTTAATAAAATACATCATAAATCTTACAGAACAAAATATGAAAACATCTGTGATTCTGTGTTGTCTTATTTAGCGTTCTTTGTTGGTAAATTTAACATAAATTAGTTTATTTTCTACTATCGCAAAATAATTTAAATAACTGTATTTGTTATTTAACCTTACAAAATCATTTTATTTTATAATGTCTTAGAGCAAACCACATTAACAAATAGAGAGTCTGCGATGTACTGTAAACATTGCGGACTCTCTATTTCTGTAAACAAATTGTAAACATGTACATTTACAAGTATGTTTGTACTATACATGTATTTGTAAATTTAGATAAATGTTAGTTTTTAATATAGTACAGGAAAAAAAGTAATATGTTTGTAAGCTTAAAATAGATTCTTATTAACCATATATTATTAAAAATGCATTTATAAATAAAATACAGAACTGGGAATGGTTATCTGTGGTTTAACCTGGAGACAAGTAAATTCGACTTAAGTCGCCTCTCCCGGAACCAATTACCGACATAAGGTGAAGTATACCCGTATAGAGATGACTCATCTCAGTTTTGATAAGTTTTTTGTATTAAGTCTACAATAGCTTTTGATTATTAATCTTAATGAAAAAGGTGTATTTTCTTCCCAAGGTGGAAATTGCAGCAATTGTTTTCGTAAAGAAATAAAGTGGAAAAACTCTCAGTACAAAATGAATTTCGGATTCTCTTGTCCCTCTGTAAGGTACTGGTTTGCAACTGATAAGGGACTAGAGAGTCTTTTTGCAGAGAGATGCCATAGAGAAGTAAAGTAGATAGAAACCACACAAATTGTTTTGCCAATCTTGGAAAGAAAATACATTTTTGTACAGTACAATTATAAATAAGTGTGGTTCAAAAAAAGGGACTGGTTGGTTGGTTAACTTTTATTGGTGCAAGGGCTATTTGGCCAAGTTGCACCACAAAACAAGGTTAGCAGTAAACATAGTTTCTAACAATAACAACAAAATCTGTACAAATAGGCTAGTTTTATTGTTAGTCAACTTACTAGTAAAGATTTATCATGTGCAACAAACATATTAGGAAATGGTTTTTGAATTATCATGCAGAGTAAAGAAAAATATCTTTTGCACCAAATCAATTATTTATGTATAAAGTATTTTAAATTTCACTAAAATTTTTTACTTTAAATTTAGAAAGTTAAAAGATATGCTTGCTTTTTTCTGACAACAGTAACTAAAATAGTAATTGTAGATATTAAATTATTATTTTTAACTGGAAATCAATAATGTTATATGTGCAAAGCATTGCATCGGAATTAAAAAATTTAATTCTCGTTTCAAAAAGCTTACAAAATGTCATTATCTTGGAAGGTTGCAATCAATGACCATTCATTAAAAAAAGAAAAAAAAAGATTCAATTTCTACAGGTTGATGTCAAAACGATTGTTGTGTCAATCTGTGGGAACAGAAATCTCACCATGGTAACAATTCTTGGATTTTACTTCTCACTTTTAATGTTTAAAGGTGAATAAACTTCTGTTGGCACTAAAGTAATACATTGTTTCTCTTGAAAGATAATAATTTGACAGGCTACAAACATTAAAACTTGCACCTGTCTCAGTCAAACTGAAAATAGAAGTTTTAGAATTGTTATAAATTCAAAAATTTAAAACAAATGTTTTTATATATATATTGAAATGCAAGATCTACAAGATAAAATGAACAATTGAAACTTGTTTTATGATCATAATTAACATGAAATATTTTCCAGTCAAGGAGGTTGTTACATAGCATTTAGTAATTTTTCTCACAAGTCTTTATCTAATTAAGAAATATATTATTTGTATTACAAATATATTCATTTGAAATTTTTATTTGGCCTTAGATAAGAATATAACTTAAGTGAAAATAAATTTATAGGCTATATCAAATTGTTTATATAAAGATGTCAGTAAAACCAAATGATAAATTCTCACAAATAGCTTATAGAAATAAGGAGTGATGATTAAAAGTTTCATAGCGTTTGAGAGCCCTAGCCAAAACATATGAAATTGTTTTTATTATTAGTTTCCTACTGTCAATTTAACTTTTGGCCATTGCAGTTTCTTGTTTACAACTGTTAGAACGGTACTTATCGAGCATAGCCCTTAAACCAGTCCCGCAAAAATAATAATTATTATTTTTTATTCTGAAAAACAAAATATCATTTTCGAACGAGCTATTGTCTATTGTTTTTCTTTTTAGCCATTATTAAAAGGTAATTAAGAGGGAAACATTTTATAAGTAATAGCGCGTGTTGCGAAACGACGACCTTGAGAACCATAGCTGGTATTGCCACACCGTTCAAGGTTATCACTTCCCAGGACGTGATAAACTAATTTAGAAAAATGTAGAAAACTTACCTATCTGGCTTATACAATTCAGCTGTGAATTTTATATGAATATTTATAAAATTTACATATACATCACTGACGATCTCTCCATATGGTCAAGTTTCAGCAATTAGAATATTGTGCACCATATTTTGTGCGCTTATTAAATATTAATGTAATGTTTTAATATGTATAAAAGAATCTCAATCATCTATTTTTTTATTTTGAATATAAATAAGTAATTCGCACTCAAAATTAACTGGCGATAAAATTTAAATCATACCCCTTACGCTATCACGAAATTAAATTTATTAGGTCGTTAATGACGACGAACGGCACATCCGTATCTCTTAATTATATAATGCTAAACTCGTTTGATTGTTGAGAATAAAATACATCTGTTAAATAATTTTTGGCTAATTTTGGAAATTAGGAAAGATGCAAAATACGGGTTTATTGAATTGCTATATGTAAAAATTATACAGCACGTTTTTATTTAAGGAAGCCAGATTTTTTCGAAGCATTTACGCATTCAAAATTTTTATTGAAGAGAATACCAGTAATAAGATATAAATTACAGTCATTAATCAACTGTACTATGATTGAATCGTAATGAAGAGAATCTTTGCTTTGTATTAAATTGAAAGACCCGGGTCTTTGAATGGAAATTGATCGAATAATTATTTAGTTCTTCTAATAACTTAGGAATCTATATAGCAAAAAAGTGACCGTTAATTTAGGAAGTAGACTATGTAGATTCCTAACACGTGAGCAGGTAGCTAGACTGAAACTTTGTTTGCTCTTAATTTAGTGTTGATGTTGAAAAAGTGCCGTGAATCTAGATTACGTATAGTACGTTTAGAACTTAAATGTATATAAATTGCAATTAAATCATATTTTTCATCAAAATCATTATATCAACTTTTAACACAGAAATGCATATTATTATTTTACAAAGGCATCACAGAACGTTTCATTATTACTCTTACTGCTGTATTTAATTATTGAAACTGCGTGTGCAAAACAGGAACAATTATTATAAATAAAATCCCGTGCTGTTCCTGGTCAATCAATTTGTCATTCGATTTATTTTCTGACATTACAAGTAAATCATCTCTAGATGGCGTGTCCGAATCCATTATTTTCATGCCCCGACAAGGACACGATGCGTCGCTTCGACTAGTTTTACACACACTAGTCTTTTTGGAAAGGTTATTGTTTGTTGTTTAAGTAATGGCAACGCAACACTTGGGCGATCTGCCTAGGGAGAATGCCTTCCCAGGAAATCTTTTTAAGGGAAACTGGCCCCTATTTAGGCATTACAAACGTGGAGAAAACCCGGAAAGCTCCACGTGGCCAGCCCGTCCGAGCGAGGCGCGCGAACTCCCATTGTTCAGGGTACCAAGACCGCTTGGCCACTGGTGGGCCTGGAAAGGAGTCTCAGCTGTTTCGATCCAAATTAAAAAGTTTAATTTTAGTAGTAGTATGACCTGTTGGCTCTTTAATACATCCATTTATTTTCGTGATACAATAGTGAGGCTTAAAGTATGTTTATAGATAACTAAAAAACGGGGGTGAAATGAAGTAATCCAATTATTATTAAGAAATTTCGTAATTGGTTAATATCATTAAATTTCTTGATAAGCTAATTCCATTAAAACTATTGGAAGGATATTAGTATTAAGGTTTACAATATTTTCAATGGTGGTTGATTAAACTCTATTTTTTTAAGTAATGACTCATTTAATATTCCGGAATAAGTAATTTTTTATTTTTTTTGCAGCACCATGAAACGTTATTGTATATCCTTGGGGGCAGGGCCTCAGTGGTGTTCCTGATGTGCCCCATGCCGCCGACGTGTCGCTACCAATAGCAGAGGGCAGCGGTGTGGGGAAACTAAAAGTGCCCCCTGTGATTCAAAATCACCAAACCAAGGTGGGTAGATATTTTTGAGGCCACCGTAACGACAATCTCGCCCGATTCGTTCCTTAAAAATCTCGAAGTCGGGCAATAATTTATATTTAGCTTTAATATTAATTATAGTTAAATACAGCTTCTTTCCACAGGTTGATGTCAAAACGATTGTTGTGTCAATCTGTGGGAACAGAAATCTCACCATGGTAACAATTCTTGGATTTTACTTCTCACTTTTAATGTTTAAAGGTGAATAAACTTCTGTTGGCACTAAAGTAATACATTGTTTCTCTTGAAAGATAATAATTTGACAGGCTACAAACATTAAAACTTGCACCTGTCTCAGTCAAACTGAAAATAGAAGTTTTAGAATTGTTACAAATTCAAAAATTTAAAACAAATGTTTTTGTATATATATTGAAATGCAAGATCTACAAGATAAAATGAGCAATTGAAACTTGTTTTATGATCATAATTAACATGAAATATTTTCCAGTCAAGGAGGTTGTTACATAGCATTTAGTAATTTTTCTCACAAGTCTTTATCTAATTAAGAAATATATTATTTGTATTACAAATATATTCATTTGAAATTTTTATTTGGCCTTAGATAAGAATAAAATTTAAGCGAAAATAAATTTATAGGCTATATCAAATTGTTTATATAAAGATGTCAGTAAAACCAAATGATAAATTCTCACAAATAGCTTATAGAAATAAGGAGTGATGATTAAAAGTTTCATAGCGTTTGAGAGCCCTAGCCAAAACATATGAAATTGTTTTTATTATTAGTTTCCTACTGTCAATTTAACTTTTGGCCATTGCAGTTTCTTGTTTCTAACTGTTAGAACGGTACTTATCGAGCATAGCCCTTAAACCAGTCCCGCAAAAATAATAATTATTATTATTTATTCTGAAAACAAAATATCATTTTTGAACGAGCTATTGTCTATTGTTTTTCTTTTTAGCCATTATTAAAAGGTAATTAAGAGGGAGACATTTTATAAGTAATAGCGCGTGTTGNAAACTAATATAAAAATAACTTTAAATTTTTTTATTTTCGCTTGCGTGTTTCCCTATCCCTATTTACTCTATGTTAAAACAAGTAAAACTGCAAAACCGTATTTCGGACAAGACTATGTCTCGGAGACTCACTACTAAGCGGAATCACTTTGACGCTCAAGGCGGGTCTTCTTTGGTATCGCTGCTTTTGAGCGCGATCGTTCAAACTTCGCCGGCCACGATGCATTTTCGGTGAAATTAACCTATCCAGGTATATCATATCCAATGTCGAAATTTCTCTCCGTTGCGTGTCGGCCAGGGTCGAATTTTTGTCGATGCGTAACGAAAAGTTCCCGTTTTTTGAAAAAAAATCGTGGTTATTGTATCGTCCGAAATAATTTTTTTTTATTTTGCGCAAACAATATACAGTTTAACCCGATTATAACGTCATCGGATGTAACGACAACCCTAATATAACGTCTGTAGTGGCGGGGCTAAAATCTGTACGTGGCACGTCTTACCTCGTCCGCGATGTCCACGTTGACCTCGACCACGCGTTCCGCCGGTAAAAATTAACTGAGAAATGATCAGGGCAAATAATTTACTTAATTTGGATTTTGGACGCGATATTTACAATAGTGTCGAGATATAAATCCAAGATCGAATCGAAAGGTTAACTAAATGAAGTAAAAAGATGTCTCTCCTCGTTAGAGTTTAGGAGCAAAGCGAAGTCAAAGGGCGAAGGTCACGCCCTCTGCCCTAGAAGTCAAATTTTTATCGGTTTCACGATTTTACTATAGTAGATAATGTTAAAAAACCCACTCGTAACGACATTAAACCGTTTTAAAGTCATATTTTAAGAACTCCCAAATTTACAAAATTAGATTACAAATTTTATTTAATATAGAAGAAACTACGTGTTCGGTTTCAAGGTCAGAGTTCGCTTCTTAGAATGACCGCGGGTGGTACTGTCCCCCACCCGACTTCGGTGGGGTGAGGTGGCTGTTTTGCCCGTTTGTAGAAGAGGATCGCCATTTTGGATTTTATTTCGACTCGATTCTCGGTCCCCCGACTACCCACGAGTCTGGACTTTTTTTATGCGCAAATGATTTGGGCACCTAATACTCCGCGCCGAGTATCAACTCTCTACGTGTTCTCCTTCGTACCTCTATGCCGGTAAGATAAACCGACAGTACGATGTTATAAACAAGAGTCTTGTCAATGACCTCGTTTAACACCGAGTAAATAGGGAAAGGAGAACACGCAACCAAAATAACTTGAAGTAAAATTTTATTTATTTTTATATTAATTTGCATAATAATGTATGTTAAATAACACAAACATATGCGCACAGAAATGTAAAGTCCATTTTTTGTGATGAAGGTCCTGGCTGATCTTCTGAAGTTTTTGTTTTTTGCGATAAAATAGCGTAGTTTCATTCGTCGCTTTCTTTTTTCCTTCTTTAAGCAAACGTCGGTACGGAAGATCGCATCTAAAACGCCTCGTTTCGCTTTAGCACTCCTTTCAAAATCTGGATCGACGATTTCGGTTCTCGTTGCCAAACTTTTACTACGGAAATCTGTAGATTTTTTGGGTTCTTCATTTTCGGAATTTCTATTTTCCAGTTCCACGTGGATTTCTTGTTCTGACAGTTCTCGAAGGTCGTCGTGAACTCCTCAATATCCCTCTCATCTACTCTCTTAGTCGTGCCGTATCGATTAGACTCTTCTCGTTGAGAATTCTTGATACCTTCAGCCATAACTTCTTCCACACTTCTTTCGTGCATTTATCGGCTAATTCTTGCCAAACCAAGTCGATATTGCCTGTGCCATCCACGATGTTATAATTTTCCAAAATTGCACCAAACAGATTACGGCGCTACGACGAATTGCCACCTTTTGCCGATTGGTTCGTGTTTGGGAATAATGAAATGCTGTTGCGATAATTTGCCTCCATTCGTCCCTTGACACAATGAAGTTCCAGGGTGCTTCGGTTTCTCGCAAAGACGGTTGACAGGGTCGAGGTCGGGACTTCGAGTGCACCCTCACGATTTTCCTCAAACCACGTCGTCGTAGACCTTTCTATCACAATGCGGGAAGCAGTTATCAAGAATGTTTGGTAAGCACTGGCATTCACCGCATCCTCGATCAAAACCGGTGGCCCACAGCGGTACCGGGAAAAACGACGTCGCCACCACCAAAACTTAGTTTGCACGTGCTCTGGTAAATGCCGTTTACCTGGCACCACTCCAAGCGGCGTACGATCGAGGACTTGCGGGCTGCAACGTGACCGTCGCCAAATTTGTCGTACGTTCGACGATACACGGTTCATCTAGAACAGTGTTTCTCAACCTCTAACGAATCGTCGCCCCTTTCACTTCAAAATTCCCAGGCTAACGCCAAATTCGTACCGCATCGAATAGACTAGTGACTAGTATAATGTTATTTTATTCGTTATATCGTACAATAATTAAACAAATATCTAATTATTAATTATAATGTTTTGTATATCGCCCGCCAAAATATAAATTGTTACTAATCGCCCCCGCCGAGAAACACTGGTCTAGAAGTTATCGTCCGGTTGCCCAACATCTGGTCGAAATCGGAAATGCGTGTTCAATTAGAATAATCACGGCATTCGGAATAAAAGAGGAAAGTAGGTACGATTTGGTTATTTTGGCGGTTTTGTGCATTTCAGAGGGATGATCTAACCAGGCAGTCCTACCAGGATACCGTGTTGCTGACGTTTAGATTTCATCTGACCGAATTGACCAACACCGAGTGGGAAGCGGTCCTGTGGCAGGGCAGACTGTACGTTCAGGTGCCGAGCGGGATCCTGCCCGAAGGGTCCAAAGAAACGTAAGGTCGTCGCCCAAAGAAACGTAAGGTCCGCCCGGCCGCCTCTGACGATTTTTCTTTTGTCCAGGTTCGTCTGCCTGCTGGAATACGCCGAAGAAGACCTCCGCTGCACCCACATCGTCGTGTGTTTCGAGAAGAACCGAACGGAGAGAGGTATTTTTCCCGTCCGTAGGGTAGCGCACTCCCGCACCTCCGTAACCGTCGTTTGTTGTCTTTCAGCCGTTCTCGTCCGCACTTTCATGTTTCTGGGATTCGTCACTCTGGCTCCGGGTCATCCGTTGGCTCCTCGCGGCGCGTCCGAAGACACGCTGTACATGGCCTACGCCGTGGAATAGGATTCGGTTTCCCCACACTCTTCGTCTTCGAAGAACCGCTTTCTGTCCGACCGTGGCTAGACACGTTTCCGTATGTAAAAAATTATATATATAGAGTCAATTCTCCGCAAATTATGGTAGCCGTTAGTATTTTCGTGGGTATCGACCGTCTAGCACAATGTGTATAATTTTGTGTCTAAATAAAATAATTTCCATTAAACAGTGCCAGTTGCAGTCTAAACCATTAAAATTTTATTGGCGTACATTTTACATTCATTCTAAAATTCGAACGTCATTCACGACAACGAAAAGATAAATTACATTTTGATTTCCGAATCGATACATCTTAAATTACACTCCGTTACGACACTCCGTACTTGTACTCCGTGCCGTCGGCCAGCAGCCTCAGTTTGACCATCTTGTTGGCCACCCACACCAGTCTGGCGATCTTCAGGGGGTTGGTCTTGGCCGCCTCGCCCAGGGGAGCGGTGGTGTGAGTTCGGACGCAGCGGGTCTGGGCCGTTCCCAGGCCGAACAGCCCCGTGGCGGTCTGAAACGGACGGAGAATAAAGTATGCGTCTGGAAATAAAGGGTGGAAAAATAGCGCTTGTCACCCACCTGCCAGAAACACAGCTTGTTCTCTCCAGCGGAATACGAAGCCAGGTACTTTCCGTCCGGCGAAAAGGTGCAGGCGGTGATGGCCGCGTTGTGCGCCGAAATGTCCTGCGCGTACGGTACGTTAAGGAGTGAGATCAGAGCGGCTCTAACCAAATGCGCGCCGGTGACTTACCTGAGACCTGGACGTCCTCAGGTCGTAGATGGCCAGGTGTCCGTTCTTGGCTCCCACGGCGATCCGACGAGTGGAAGCGCAGTAACTGACGTTGTTAAACCTGTCGGGATACGTAACACGCACTTTTATTTTTTATATTAATAAACCAATCGGAAACTTCCCAAAGTATCCGTTGTGCCGCTTCTGCCGTATTTTCCCCGAAAGAAAGACCTGGCACGATTTTTCGGGATGCTCTTAATGTAAGCCCCTGTTAAGAAAAACGTTTTCCGAATTTCGTCGTATTTTGTAACGGTCGGGGTCTGCCACCCCGTCTCGCCAGTCTTCGATCGACACTGGATTTAAAGGGAACAACATTTCCATTCCCAAACGAGACCACGGCAAAAAGAAAGCCGTTTTGCCGAGTACCACAAAGGAATGGCGGAGCAAGAATCTGCAGAGAAATCGTCGTGGAATATTTACGAAGAATTCGCGAGATATGATTGCCGACGGCCACGTTGCCTATGCACCACCGGGAGCACCGATTTAAGGACAGCTCCGTTGCTAGATGCGAGATTAGGGCCAATTGTTCGGCAGGAAATGCAGTGGCAAGAAATTCGGGATTTGCAGCGTAATACCCCGTTCGCACCGAGCATTTCGATCTAGATTGTGACTAAGGTCGGAGAGAGTTCCTTGGTGCGAACGCTCTCGACCGTTTCAATCTCGACTGAAACGAGGTTCTATCGCCATCGACTGGAGAGAGTTCTCGAAACTAGATCCAGTTATAAGAGAGATCCCACAATCCCACGCGCGCGAGAAAATACAAGATGGCTGCGGAACACGTGTCCGGCTATCGACAGAAAAATAAAAAAGACATGTGTCTATTATTAGATATACGGCAAGAAAAAGTATTTATTTCTAACCAAAACTTCCATTTTGTTTGTTGGTGTTGGTGACTTACCGCGTAGTTATGTCAATTATATCATCGCGTGTAATAGCCCGGTTCTTCTCAAGCGAGTTACCTGTGCGAACATCACGACGTTCCACTGGCGACAGTCACAATCCAGATTGTGGGTAAATCGAGATCGAAGTGAGTCGTGGATTGTGTGCGAACGGGGTATAACCACGACCGTACTCGGAATAAATTTACATTGCCCTGCACGAAAATGAAGACATCTCCCGAAAATAAACTCTCACGCGTCTTTCGCAGCAACAATGTAAGACCCGGTCTTATTTTCGGGGAAACGCAGTATTAAATTTTTGGCGTTTTGCAGCCCACGGCAATTCGTATGGGGTGGCCGAGGTGAAATTTCCAGTTTTGAAAAAACTTTACCGACGATTACTTTCGTCTGGTGGAAAATCGCCGTATTTGCCGGCTTAACTTTCCCGGAAAAGTTTGGTGGCTCCATCTGTTATCACATTATTTAAAAAGTTATTTTTTTTAACTATTATAAAATGGCAAAAAGCTTCATTTCGAGGGTGGGGACGGGTTTTATAAAAAAAGAATTGAAAATAGCCAGTAAAATCGTCATTAAATCCGGCCCTACCGGAGACGGTTATACGCGCGTCTTCCCACCCCTCGACCTTTAACCACCGAAATATAATAGCGTCGAACCCCTAATAAACAAACCACCCTGCAAAATTGTGGGAGTTTTTAAACTTCAAAGAGCATGAAGAAAATCGTGCCTCCCCAAACACAGGTGCAAAAAATCCCGGTTTTTTTTTTCATTTCTCGACGTTTCGAGGTCCCCGTATCCAAAAACGTAATCTTGGGGGTTCGTTTTCTGACGGATGACCATACTTTCCCTGTTATATATAACAGTCGGGAAAGTAAATATCAAAACAGGTAAAATTTCACCCCATACCACCCGATACATTTTATAATTTGAAGAAATTCGTCTGCAGAAAACTGCCTCGCGCTTCGATCGAATCCGAACGGGGTAGAGATTTTGTTAAATTCAAAACCCAGACCCGCGTTTAAATGGATAATAATAGGTGGAAAAATGGAGAAAGACTCTCCTTACCTGCATATGGCGGGGAACGTTTCGCTCAAACCTTTCGTCTTCAGCTGGGTGTGGTCTAAACAGTGGAGAACGATGTCCATGGTCTGAATTTTAAGTAACCGCCATTACCGATTCGGGTCTTAATTTTCTTTTTACGAAAACGGAAAGGTCCTACCTCGACCAGCAAGTCCGAGACGTCCGTCTGCATCTTGTCGATGAGTAATTCGATCACCCTGAGAATTTCGGGCCGGGCCCGACTGAGTACGGTCTTGTGCAGGGGAACGTTCAGCGCCTGAGGGTTTTGGGCCAGTTTGTTGTAACAGGTCACTTCTCTGGCCAAAATGGAGATGAACGCCGGAGGTCTGGCGGTGGCGATCAGCGACAGGGCGTGGCGGGCCGTGCGACAGGAATCCGCCGCCGGCGTCAGAGGCAGACCGTAAGACATGCTGAAAAATTGCGGGCAATCAGAGGAAAGAATCAGAGGAATTAGAGAAAGGAGCTGCCTACCTGGGCACCAATCTATCGGAATTACAGCAGAGTTCCAATAGACTTAGCAGTATTTTCGACACGTCCAGGTGGCGCTCCCACACCGTGAATCCTCTTCCGATCAGATCTATGGCGGCCCTTCTCAGCGAAGTGTGGGCGGGCAGATAGGGGCTGGGTCTTGCCAGAAGAAGAAAAGACAGAGCCGTGCCTGAACGGGCGAGAATTTAATCGGTTCTTAATAAGTACGAATTGCGTCAAACGAATAGGACAAACGTTTTTCCCTACGCACTGGTGTGCCTGGCGAGAGAATAGTTGGAAAGACCAAAACCGTCGACTATGCTCTTTTTCTTCTGTTCTTCCGCGCTCTTTCTTTTGCTCTGTTCGATTTCGTATCCGTATTCCGCTCCGATCACCCCCAGTAACACGATGGCGGTGGCCTGCTTCCTTCTGCCTTCCGCAGCACTCGAAGGCTTCCTGCAGCTCTCTGCCTCGACAAAATTCAATTTTTTAGTCTTCTTAACGCGCAATCCTTACAATAAAGTTCGTTTATTTCCGTATTTCTGCAGAAAAATTATCCATCGGAAATATTTTTACGTCTTATAAAAACAGACAACCGACAAAATTACATAGGTAAATAAGAGAACGACGGGGGTTCGAAGCGTTATTACGTCAAGAATTAACACCGTATTGGGCAGAACGATTGGAAAAGTTCATATAATTGGGCTTCAAAGTTCAAATTTTACGGATTTAGTTTGGATTAATCCAAAAATATTCGAATTTCACTGGAAGAGACCTGACGAAAAGGTTTCGCGGTTCGGACACATTTGTGCTTCGCACGGTATTCTCGAAGATCCGTTCGTTCCACCGCCCGTCTCATCGTCTACAAAGTAAATGGCTATATTAAGGCCCGAGCAAATGATGTTCCATCGACACTTGCAAAGAAACTGGAAGTATCGGTGGAAGAAGTCGGAGTTTTGCGCTATTTCTCGCCTAACGATAAGCTCCGAAACCTTCCAGAATTATTTTCTCCTTTACAAATATAAAAATTTTATAAATTACTAATTCCAAAACAATTCCGAAGAATAATTCCTCTGTAAATGTACTACAATATGTAAATTATTTATACTTACGGTTCGATAATTACGCACGGCAACACTATACGAAGCGTGCAGTGCCGTAAGGCTGATATTTACATCATTTCGATATTGCACACAACTTGTAATCTAGCGAGTTTTTTTTTACCATTTCATAGTAAAATTGAAATGAAATTCGCTAGAAAAAAAGTGTCTTTTTGGCATTTACAACATTACGGCATTGAGCGCTTCGTATATAATTTCACTTTTATTCTCGGATAAAGAAATAACCTTCTAATATCTGATCGTCCACTTCCACTTCCTCCTCCTCTTCTTCCGACAAGTGCTCTTCCGATTTTCGATTCTGCTGATTTTCCTCGGTCGAATTCGATCCCGCGTGATTATTGGGCGACGTCTCGGTGGCGGCGGAGACCGTGGTCAACGTGGTGGTAGGAGCGGCTGCAATAAAAACCGACTCTATTAAATCACAGTACTTTCCGCGGGAAGATCTCGTATTAAGTTTATTACTCTGTCCGTGGCACGTGCGAGCGGGATACGGTTCTCCGTAATTCGGGAGGTAGGGCGCCCATTCGTCCACCACCGTCTTGCGACCTTTCGGGCCTATTCTTCTCAGTTCTGCCAGGAGGAGGGCCTGCGCCGCCTCGCGCACCTAAAATTTTTTACCAAGACGTCAATTTCCGTCGGTTTTCCGAACCGAAGAGCGTCGTCGCCTTACCTCTAAGCATCTGTCTTGCCAACGCCTGGCCAGTATTTCTACCTGAGGATTTTTGAAGTTAGGGGTGCGAACCAACTCCGGTAAGAGAACGCAATGAAGCGCAGTCAGTAAACTCCATCCTTTTTTGATTTGAGCTTGCTGACTAGACAATCCGGATTCGATTGCTTCTTGGTTGGGCACTTCCGTACCCGTGATTCCAGCCTTGCTTTCGGCACGGCTCAACCTACTTGAAGAAATAAAACCCATTTAAATTTTTTTACAATTGCTATATAAATATAATAAACTCCCGAAGCCCGATGCAACGATATTAAACCAAACCATGGCCGTAATTAATCGGGCTATTATCTCGCTATTATTAATAACTAGATATTAAGTAATTTGGTATTAGAGGTAGACGTTAGGCGCCATCTCTTATCTAAATTAATAATTAATAATAATTTATTAAATAAGTTAGAACCGTGTTGGAGTAAATTATTAATTTAGATAAGAGATGGTGCCTAACGTCTACCTCTAATACCAAATTACTTAATATCTAGTTATTAATATTAGCGAGATAATAGCCCGATTAATTACGGCCATGTTTTGGTTTAATATCGTTGTTATATAAATCTAAATCCCAAAATATAATAACGAGCCGTATTAAAACTTTGTTCCAACCAAAGATTCCGATCGTCGATTTATATTTATGATTATAATCCATCCGAATAATATACTTTAATAATAAACTTCGCATCCGACTAAATACTTTTTAGTCGGATACGAATTTGTTTATACAAATTAAACAACTTAGCGGCATAGAACCAAATTGTTGGTTTAATTAATGCAGAAAGGTTTTCACAATAAACTATATAGAAATTATAACACCGTAATTGATAAATTACCTAACTTCACTGCCTGTAACTGGTGTTCTTCTCCAATACGTTTGCAAAGTCCTTCGTATTGGAGAACACCGGTTACAGGCAGTGAAGTTAGGTAATTTAGGTTTTCACAATGTTTATTTTGTTGTATTTTACCACATTTTGACCGGCATGTTGGTTAAACTGCGATTAAAAAGTAAAATTAGCCAGATTAAATGTTAATATTAAATGATTAAAGTCAGATTAAATGTCAAATATTAGTTGTAGATTTAATGTTAAAAGAACATTCTTCCGAGTACAATACACTATAACTTGACTGACTTGAAAATGCTCTTCCTGATTTTATTTACAAGACAATAAAACAACGACTTATTGACATTAGTAACAGCATTAGTTAGTGTGGGCTACACTGACCATCTACCCCAACCTTAAAAATAACACCTCTTAATTTTCACACAAAGAGGATGTCAATGGTGAAAGTTGAGATAATTTACGGAGAATTTCTGAAATTTTATATTTTTTGCTTTTGAATCAAATTACAATAAAATAAAAAAAAAGCACTTTTGGCATTGCGCGAGTATTTTACGTCGTTAGAAAGACGACAAAATGAATAAATTAAACGTATAATAGTAGTTTTTGACGTAATGCTGACAGTTTCAGAATAAAAACTCGTTCTTTAAATGCGTCTTCTAGAGAGGGATGCATAATCTCACTTAAACCGGCATGCCAGACAATCTGCGAAAATACAATATGTACTGTACGTTGTGTTATACAAGGTACACATTGTATTTTAAAAGCTTATTTTATCTATTTTAATATGATTTAAGTGATAGATACAACTTGTGATTTACGAGAACCTTCGATTAATGCGATATTCTTAGGAATGTTTTATTGTGTGAACTCGAGAAACACGCGCGTTCAAAAATCATAATTTTTCTGTAATAATCCCAATCGAAAACGCTGATTAATGTAAAGAAAATATTCACCTTTAGCATTTTCACGATTAATTGTTCAAATATATGTCTACGTTGTTAATTGTACAATAAATTCTAATTAAATACACTTACCGAAGCAATTTGCGTCGCCTCTCTTGTTCTGGAACAAAAGTGGCACTGTTCATGGACATCAAAGTATTACCCAATGCTATGATGGCCAACAGGTGGTTAGTGGTGACGGCGGTGGACAATTCCCAGTGTCCTCGCGACGAAAATTTGCACGCTCGTTCTTCTTCTTCGATCAGTTCGGGAGGAATCTCCGAGGTGAGTATGGACACTTTTTTCTTCTCGGACGTTCTGAATTATCAAACGATGAAAAACTTTTAGATTAAATTAAAAGACAAATTAAACTAAGAAATTCAAAAGACGATCTCGTCTTACTGTTCGACCGTTGTTGCTTTGGTTTCGAGTATGTCTAACTTGTACACGTATGTTGGAAGGAGGAGGGCCATGTGACCGCTGCGAGAGAGAAGTCCGAAACAGACGGCCCTCATGGGCCTCAACAGCCCCAGTTTGCTTTCGGAAACTCTGTCCAGATCGGCATCCACGCCCCAGGCGTGTAAAATGGACAAAAGAAGCTGAGCGATCTCCATGGTCAAATTTGCTTCTGCCATGTTGAGATGACTGGGCTTTCTATTAGGACCATTTGAAATATTTCCATTTTTGTTATTAACCATTGATCCCTAGTGAAGAAATTAAATATAAATTACATAATCAAAATTATTTACTTTAGTACAGAGTGATTCGAGAGGATATTCCATCACTTGGAGATTATTTTGGAGGTCATTTTGAGCAAAAAAATGTATAAACTTGGAATAATTCGCGGTGAACGGCACATAACCTCGCCTAACTTGAAAATAAAATGCATTTTTTTTGTAATAAACTGTTGTAAATAACGATTTTAAAAATAAAAGTTAGTCTACTATGGGTCCGTTTTACATTAATGTTTACAAACTTAACGAGTTTACGAGATTTCCAAAAATGTATTTTAATGCACTCGGCCTCGTGCTTATGAAACACACGTGCCACTCCGTGTAGCTCTGCGTGCCCGTCCTTGATTAGCACTTAATACATGCAAGTAGCTCCTTGTGTTTGTGCTTTTGTCTGGTACACAATATCCTTCATACATCCCCACATAGTAGATTTGATGTTCACAGTAAATTACTCTAACTATTGACAATAGGACCCAAGTTTATAGGACATTTTTTGCTCAGAATGACCTCGTGTCATTCTGCTCCATATAAGCTCCATAAGTGGCAGTACATCTTCCTGAATCACTCCGTATGTTCTTTAAATACTTGTTAAATAATTTAATATACTGTACAAAGTCATATACACATCTTATAAAATGCATAAAATAATTTACTGTATGTTTTAAAGATGAAAAATAAATTTGTTTTTCTTGTTTTTTTAACCATTTTGTATTTTCTTGACTATTTACAATGATAAGAAAATGGCAAGCATAAACATATGATTTTCTGCGCAAATAAGAGCGTGCTCTATGTACCGTCTCATTTTGGCATATAAGACTAACACACTACTGTTCCAACGTAAATTAAATATAAATATATTGACTATTCAGTAACATTTCTGAGGTGGTAGCCATTCTTAAAAATTAAAAGCCAAAATAAAAAAAGTATTTCTGATACCCATAAAAGTTTTTTAAATGCTGTGGTTTGTTTTGGGTACTTTGAGATATAGTACAGCATTTGCCCCATCTACAAGACCACATCTGTGCAGAACATATATTATAATATAGTAATCTAATGGTATGAATAAAAGTATTGTGTATACTATACTGTTTAAAATAATGTAATATAAAACAACACCTATTTTGCCATCTGCAGGAATCTTTACTAACTAATAAACGAATTAATCTAATTAGATTTTGATACAATATGTAATCATCTTGGATATATGTGAATAACTCAAACTTTATTAATAGAAGGGAATAATCCTGTTACAGGAGGCATAATTAATGACCACCATGTTTAAATTACAAATGATTGAAATTAATGTACTGTACATATACATTAATTTCAAGTATGGTTATATCTAAATTAAATGTCTTGAAGCGAAGATCGGACAAAAGTCCGATTAGCATAACTGGCAACGTGACCGCACAGTAAGCTGGATTTGCGAGTTTGAGTCCCACTTTGGCCAATTATTTTCTTCCGGAATCTTCAAATTAATTGTTAAAATATTAATCAATTATAATTATTAAATTTAGTGAGAGATGGTACCTAATGCCTACCTGTAATATCAAATTACTTAGCATTTAATTATTAATAGTAGTAGTAATATACTCAGGTATAATCTAGCAATCATTTGCCTTTAATATATTCACACAAACTTATAAAAGTTATGAATATAAAAATCTGGAAGGGCTCTCTTGACTTTCTATGATAAAACTCTCCATTTAAAATAGATATTTAAATTTAAAAAACTTTATTATTATTATAAAAATCAAAAGGCGGCTTAATTTCAAGGGTAGAGACAAGTTTTTAAAAATATTGTAAATGTAAATAACCTGTAAAATTTCCATTACGTCTGGTCCCATTCAAAATATTACAAGTGACCTCTTCTATCTCCCCATCCCTTCAACCTTCAGCCACCAAAATTTAACAACATTGATGTCCCTTACATACAAGTTACCATGCCAAATTTTGTTTCTTAATTTTTACCCCATCCTGAGATATTAAGCAAAATAGATGCCAACACACACACAGAATTTCCCCACTTTTGTGCATTTGCGAAGTCTCAAACAAAGATTTGTAAAAATCCCAGAGGGTTAATTTGACATAATTTTAAAATACTTTCCCATGTTATATTATAACAGTCAGGAAAGTGAAAGTAGAAATAAAACCTGTAAATTACTTTCTAACAATTTTATTAATTGTCATGACTTACCTTTCCAGAAATTGTGACTTCTCCCGACACAGCCTTAAAACCCACGCTTTCAGCTTTTGCTTGTATCTTATGTGCGGCAGTTTCGGCCGTATCTTTCATCTTTGCAATAAAACCTAATTTTTTAAAATGTATATGATGAAATTTTTACTTTACTTGAAATTTTTTATTTGCAAAATAAATAATTTATGCATAGTTTCCATTTGAATTTTATCATTGATATACCTGTTAATTTTTTCTGGGCATCTGGTGAACTTGCCAAGTTTTGGTATTTCTGATATTCCGTCTGATTGATCAAGCCCTGTCCTTCTAAGGTGGCGGGCGACATAGTTGAATATTCTTCCGTTAACAGCTGAACTGTTTAAAGTTAATTTGAAATTTACAAAAACAGTTATAATTTAAATAATCACACTTTACTTGATGATAAATAACCAACCTATAAGTGCTTCAATATCGAAGAATAATAT